TAGCCGCGGGACGGGGCCGCGCGGGGCCGCGCGGGGCCGCGCGGTGCCGCGCGGTGCCCCCGCTCAGCCGGCTCCTGCAGATCTTCTCCCTGGGCTACTGCCCCACGGGCGAGTGGCTGGCGGTGGGCATGGAGAGCAGCAACGTGGAGATCCTGCACGTGAGCAAGCCCGACAAGTACCAGCTGCACCTGCACGAGAGCTGCGTGCTGTCCCTCAAGTTCGCCTCGTGCGGTAGGCGCGGGGCGGCGGGCGCCGCGCGGGGCGGCCCCTGCACCCCCGGCGTCCCCGGGGCCGCGGCGGCGCCCGGGCCCGCGCCAAGGGGCCCCCGCGGCGCCGCTCTCTCGTCCCGCAGGCAAGTGGTTTGTGAGCACGGGCAAGGACAACCTGCTCAACGCCTGGCGCACGCCCTACGGCGCCAGCATCTTCCAGGTGAGGGGCCCATCTGAGCCGGGGGCACGGGAGGTGCCCGGTCCGCGCGGATGAGGGATCCCTGCTCCGTCCCGGTCCCTACACCCCGTTGTGCCCTCAGCCCCTCTCTTCCTTCCAGTCCAAAGAGTCCTCCTCAGTGCTGAGCTGCGACATCTCTGTGAACGAGCAGTTCATCGTCACGGGCTCCGGCGACAAGAAGGCCACGGTGTACGAGGTGGTGTAGCGAGGAGCCGGCGCTGCCGCGGGAGCCGCTTCCCCCTCCTCGTTCATCTCCCTCCAGCAGTAACAAGGACTGGGGTGGGGGGGCCAGATTTCGGCTACCCCCTTCCCAGCCTCCTGCCTTCGTGCAGACGAGGTTGGAGGGATCCGGGACACCTGGGGTCTTCGCTGCTGGAGCTGGTGGGGTAGCACCCATGGGTAGGGAGGGCACAGGGGGGCTGGACTTTGCACCCCCAGGACYGTCCGTCCTGGGCCCCGAGGAGCAGGAGCAGCCGGCAGAGCGGGACCAGGTCCCAGCGAGCGGCAGAGSCCGGCGCCGGCCGCTGCTCCCCGCTTACCGCTACGGCGTTAGTGGCACCCATTTTCTGCTGCAAACCAGCTGTAAATGCCCAGCAATGTATTTAACAGTGTTTTCAATCCCTTACTAATAAAAAGGAGCAAAAGAGCGCGTGGTTTGTGTGTGTGCGGGGGGACAGGACGGGCGGCGGGGCAGCCTTGGCCGCTTGGGTCTCCCCTCTCCTTGCCTTTGCAGGGCGCTCCTGGTGCCCACGGGGGCCCCGTGCCCCCCCACCTTCCAAAGAGCTGCTCCGGGYGGGGTAAAGAGCCCCCGGGTGCGCGCGGGAGCAGCCCCTGCGGCTGCAGCCCCTGCAGACACCTGGGGGGTTAACCAGCAGCAGGGCCAGGGCTGCGCGCGCTGCATTGGCCCCTCGGCCAAGACCTCCCMCCCAGCAGCCGCTGTGCGGTCCCCGTGGCCCCGGCGCCCCGCTCCGGACACAGCCCCACTCCGGACATGGCCCCGCTGCGTGTTTTGTCGGGTTTTATTATTAAATACAAGGAGCGAGCACGGAGCCCCTCCTCTCCGCCCTGGCCCAGAGCCTTAACCAAAACCCCAAACATTGCATTAAAAAAAAGCTCCCTGCCCACCCCCCCACTCGAGGTTTAGAAATAAGCGATGCCCAAAAGAACAACCGGGAGCGCAGGGAGTCCCTGGGTGCCGCGGGGCGCCCGGCTGCGGGGCTGCCAGCGCCGTCCCCC